AGTGATTCTCAAAGTTGGTTGCATATTAGAAGCACCTGGGGCATTATTATCAAGACCAATTAAATCAACATGTGTCCCAAGCATCACTATTTCTCCTAGGTAATTCTGATTCACAGTAAGGGTTGAAAAGCATGACATTAGATAATACTACCTCATTTTCCAAAACAGGTAAGACTCCATACTGTATATGAACCCAGAAAGTGGAGGTGATTAGCTCTGAGCATGTGATTTTAGTTCTTGTCTTCAACTTCTTAGAAAGAAAGAATGGATGGGTTTGACTCTTCTTTTTATCTTTAGCTTCAGAGAGGTAAAAATGACATAATCTACCCTTGTACTTTGAGCCATACCTTACTTGAATATATGCCCTTTCTCTGATTCTCAGGTGATGGAGGGAACAACTATCTTGCAGGACCTTGCAGATCCTTGCAGTATCTCTGATGCAGGGGGTGGGGGGGCAACTGGGGCAGGGAGGGGTATTTCATGATGGTCATTTCACAGGCTACATGCATGCATGCCTGCACCACCAAGCAACAGCAAGTCAGCTACTTGGTGATATCAGAGGAACAATTATTCTTGTCCATACTTGACATTGTCCATGCAAGACACAGCTCAGTCCTCAATGGTTTAGTCTTTGTTTGGAAAAATGGGTTACAAAAAAAAAAAAGTGTGTAAAAGAGAAAAGGAAATGTGTATATTAAATAGATAATAAATGTGCAGCAATTCTAAAGAGGATATGACGTCTGACCTTACCCTACTATTGCTGCATCTGTGTTCCATGAACTTTACAAATGTCTCCTTTCTTGTATTTCTATACATTAGGTGTAGTTAGAAGTTTGCGTGCCGATTTTTCCCACTTGGTTGTAAATTCTGAGTTGGAATCTCTAGTTGTGCTACCATTGTGTCCTGCACAGTCCATACTATGTAATTATTTGCTGAGTGACTGAAAAATGCCACCACTGGAGACTGTATAAAACTTAGAGATGGTGTATTCTGTGCATGCCCATCAGCTGCTCAGGTTGTCCCATTATTTTCTCTAGGATCCTGGGAACCTGGGAATTGGTTTCTTACAATTGCATAGTAGCAATTTTCAGACTAACTTCTTTACCAGCTTCAGATTTTTTTGTGTGTTTTAGGGTCCAATTCTCAGATAACCAAAAAAAGTGGTCTACTAGGGAGAGAAGATAAGAATTTCTGTGATATTTAGATAGGATTTGAATATAGGTTGTTATATCAACAAACATTTCATCCAGGGATGGGGCTTTTATTTTTAAGAAGCCTTTATTATTATATACCAAAAAGTATTATATAGTAAACATTAAAATATAGCCTATATATGTAACATATACTATGTGTAGCTGTATATATCATATATGTAAATATGTATATATGTATGTGTTTTATATATAGATACATAAAACAAAGAGCAAGAGGGTTCCCTTTTCCTTATCTTCCTCTCATCTCTCAGGATTGAAAAGATGAGCAACATGCAAGGAAGGAACATTGGATGAGAAGTCAAGGGACATAGAATCTAATCTATTCATGGCTTTGCCTGAACCTAGTGACCTGGACAGTCCATTCCATCTCTATTCCTGTTTTTGCAGCTTGAAGATGATGAGGTCTGGCTAGGTGATCTCCCAGGTGAATTCCTTGGTGAGAACTCCTCAGGTGAACTTTTACTGCACTATAATTCTGTAGACTTACTTAACATCTATTATAATGGATTTTTCATAAGGCGTGTGCTTCTTTGAGCTGCTCTTCAAAGAGACACAACACAGGAAAGAAGACCCGGTAAATATGCCTGGGTTACAGAAAGGCAGGGATGTGGGCAACAAGCTTTAGTTCTGGCTTAGAGGACACCAGAAAGCATAAGCTCATGGGCAAACCCTTCTGATTTCTGGGGCTCACTTCCTCCACTTGGGAAGTATAGGAAATGGCCCACATGCCATGTTAGTCTTCCGTGGGCTTGGGTGTAGGATTTCAGAAATCTGGGTACACAAGGAAATGGGCAAAGGTCATCTGATTACAGAGAACGGTTGTTTTGACATTGTATTTTGTTCCTTGATCTCTACTTTCAACAACTCACTTTGCCCTGATTATTTTTTTCTAATTAAGAATTACTTGCCCACCAATAATAATATTCCAATATAAAGGGTAGCCAAAGACCTATTGAAACGTTGCCACAACAGAGGTCTTGCAGTAATGAGTAACAGAGAACAAGTATGGGGCCAATCAGGAGATTCCAATGGGGTGGGGGGAGACAGCAAGGGTACTTGGGTTGGAGGGGGGGGTGAACTATCTTTTCAGAACCAGACTGAACCTCATCCTGGGACAGGGACCAGGATGGGAGTTGGGGCATCCTCCCACCCAGACCCTGTCTCCCTTGCCTCACTGCACTGCAGCATTAGTGTGAGTGGAGTGTGGAGAATGAAGATGTTCTGCAGCAAAACTCAAACCAGCAGTCAACCCTGAGGTCAGCAGCTGAGGCAGTTGGTAGGGGGACATCCCCAATCACTACCAAATCATTCCTCAACCCAAATGTCCAAAAGCTCTCTTATAGAAGGGGCTAGTCAGAGTTCTCCCAGAATCTGAGCTCTGAGTACACCATAAGTGGAGGTCTTTAAGCAAAATCACTTGTTTCCTGAATCCTATCTGTCCTCTATTATCCTGTAATATAGAGGAGTGCCATTACCCAGTTGCAAGTGAGTTGCTTGGAAATCTCCCCCTTTGCAACCCAAATACAAACATTCAAAGGCATTAACATACCACCATATTTTGTATGAACTGAAGATACTTCATCTTATTCTTTCCACCACTCTGAAGAGGGAACTGCATGCCAACGTGCATTTGCCATCTCTCTGCGTCTTTCCCCTCATCAGGTGTCCAATTTTTGTGATAACAAAAACATGCACCTAAGCAACTGAGTGCGTGTATGTCGCTTAAAAACAACAACAACAAAATAATAAAGTAAAATAAAATAAAATAAACCCCTGAAAGTGAAATGCAATTACCAGGTTAAAAAAAAATGCACCCAGTTTCCAGAGCCTATCACATCTCGCGCCTCATCGCGCAGCTCCCCCCAACACTGCTCCTGTTGTGTCAGATAGTGGCAGTGTTGAGCCCGGGAACCCGCGCCGAGCCCGCGGCGATCCCCGCGGCCGCCCAGTCCCCGCGTCTGACTCCGGCGCGCAGGAGCCACTGGGCCGCGAGGGCGCTGGGGAGCGGGAGGGGCGCGAGGGGCGGCGAGGGGTCACCGGTTGGCCTCCACGAACTGTTTTCCTCCTCCCCCAGCAAGACCCCACTCCCTCCAATTGATCGAAATTCACCGAAATTCACCGAGAGAGGGAGGGTGTAGGGAGAGGTCGCTCGCTGGTTACCGGCTGCGCCTCCCCCCGGCTCGAGCCGGGAAGCGGCCCCCGGTCCGTGGGGCGAACAGTGTGGGCGCCCGCGCCCCCTCCGAGGCAGATCGTGGGGTGGCGGTCCCCGCTCGGCTCGCCGCGCGGCCGCTCCGATCCTCCCCCCCCCTCCCCCGCCCGCGCCCTCCCCCTTCCTTTCACTAGGACTCCGGGACTCGGGAGAGGGCGCGGGAGGCAGGCACACGGGCCCGACCCCACTCCAGCGCTCGCCGGGGACGCGGGCGGGCGGCGAGGGGACGCGGCGGGGGCGCGGGGCGGGCGCGGCCATGGAGCGGCGGCGGCGGCGGCGGTGGCAGCACTAGCGACCGCGGGCGGACGAGCGGGCGGGCAGGGCCGCCCGGCGCCGCGGACCGAACTGCACAGCTCAGCAAAAGCGCCCTCGCCCTCCGCGCGCCGCCTCCTGCGAGCCCAAACCCGGCAACATTTTTTAAAGCTCCAATCCATCCTTTGAAGAAAAGGGGAAAAAAAAAAAAATAGCATTGATCGGAGAGACGGGGATATATATATATAATTTTTTTTTTTTTGGCTCCTGCTAAAATTAGCCGGGCTCGCCGCGCGCCTGTGTGCGAGTGTGTGCGAGTGTGTGTGCGTGCGGGCGTGTGTGTGTGTGAATGTGATTACTCCAGGACTCCTCGGGCTCCGGAGACGCCATTTTCCCCCTTGATATCTCTCTCCATAAATCGGTGGCGCGGCGGAGGCGGCCGCGCCGGGCGGGAAGCGCGGGGCCAGCCGGGGCGCCCGCCGCTCGCCGCCGCCTCCGCGCGCCCGGGGGCCCCGGCGCCCCCCGAGCTAGGGCGGCCCCCCCCGCGGCTCGCCGTTTGACAGATGCTCATCGCCATGGAGTTGCCGCAGCAGCACCTTTGGGGGCTCGGGCGAGCGACGGGAGCCGGGATCTGAGCGAGCGCCGGGGCCAGCGGAGCCGGAGCCGCCGGGACATGGGTGAGCACGCGCCGCGACCTTGGCCCGGGAGCACGGCACCCAGCCTCCCGCGGCGCCGCGGGCCCCCGCACGCCCGGGGCTGGGGGCGGTGTGTGTGCCCTGTATGCAAAAGTTAACGTCGCCTCGCCGGGGCTTTGACTTTGCACCGGGCGGGAAGGGGGAGACGGGGCCGAGGGGGCGGGATGCCGGTCCCCGCCAGGCTGCGGAGGATGGGCGCGATTCCGGCCCGCCCGCGGGTGGGCAGCGATGCTGGCTCATTTGGAGTGGCCCGTTGGTGGCGGCGATGGTGGAAGCGTCGGGCGGGAGGGTTGGGAGCTTATTGAGTTTCGCCTAATCTGATTCCCCCCCAGCCCCCCCGCCTTTTGCACCCTCCCTCGGTCCAGCCGCCGGCTGCCGGGGCTGGCGGGTTTGGCGTTGGTGGAGTGGACTCGGGAGGGGGAGGGGGTAGGGAAAGGGGTGGGAAGGCAGCAGGATATATATATTTTTTATTTTGGGGGGTCTCTTTGTAACTTGCAGGTTAAGTGGAGCTAGAGAGCTACATTGTAACCTAGTTGGATGGGGGGGGGGGGGGATGTAGGAAAATACGAGGTTTTTTTAATAGAAAGAAGAACAGGGAAGAAGTGGTCCAGCAGGCGAAGGTTGGTGTGTGCTTGTGTTGTGGCTCTGTGTTAGTCTTTCTCTTAAAATCTTAATCAATGGATCTGAGTCTCTTTCTCGTGCTCTCCGGTTTTGGGACTCTGAAAAGACAGGAATTCCCTTAAAAGCAGACGACTGCCTTTTTTGAAAGCACGCATTGTGTGTGTTTCTAGAGGAGCCCTGGGCTGGAGAATTAACGGCAGGCTTCCCCGTTCGGTGGTTTCCAGTGGGAAATCACTCCGGAAAGGGAGCCCTTCAGTATCGATTTATTGTTTTTGTCTTTCAAACCATTATCTCTTTGGCTAAAATACTGTCTGAGAAGTTCCACAGAGATAGAGTCAGGTAAACTGGACTGGGCAGATCTTCAGCAAGATGGTGATAACGGTGATGCCGTTTTGGGGTCTGTTTGTGATGGAAGCATTGCTGGGTAATAGCGATTTCTGATCGGTAGAGCATGCTGGTTCTAAAAAAATAAGTGACTGCCTAAATGCTGTCTTTCAGCCCCCCTCCCCTACACGCTGCATACACCCCTCCTCCCATGACCCACACGCTTACAACAATTCTGAAATCGGATCCAACTGGAAAGATTTTCTTTGGAGATCGGAAAGTTGTGCAGTTGGAAGTGGAAGATGAGGCTAGAGGTACCGGGGGTGTGGGGAGGGGGGGTTCTGATTGCCCCCTCATGCTGAATTGATTGTTTATGTGTGTGTGTGTGTTCTGAGCGTGTGTATATCCATCTAAAAGGACTGTTGAGGGAAGGATTTCCGATTTGTTTCCGCTTCAAATAAACTGTCCTGATAATCTCATGGTTGGCGTCTAATGCTAAAAGGCCAATTTGTGTGTCTCTTTATCGCCTCAGAAACTCTTCCAAAAGGGTGGTTTATTCTGGAATTCTATAACAGCTACTTTTCCTTCCAAGCCCCCACCCCCTACCCTCCACTCTCCACTATTCCCCTTGAGTTCAGTCGGAGTCTGTGGTCTTTAAGAAAATCTAATACTACTTGTTTTCCTCTTACATTATTTTTTGTTCTCTTCCTTTTCATTCCTTTGCTCTTTTTCCTGTTTTTCTTTTTTTCGTGTAGATTCGTACAAAAAAAACCTCATTTCATAAAGTAGCTATCACTGAAACTATCTAACTGTTGGAGACCCACCTCCTACCCTCCTTTAGTTCACACAGGTAAATCTGATTCGCCCCATTCAAACTCATCTTCATTTGCAAAACGTGTGTGTGGTGCGCGCGTGTGCGCGCGCGTGCGTGTGTGTCGGGAGGTGGGAACAGGAGTGGAGTAGAGAAGAGGAACGTGGAGAGGAAGGGTGGTATTCTGTGCAGGCCACATCTGCAGCACTGGGGCCAGACCCGCACGGTCTGGGAGAGTTTCCTTTGCTTACCCCAGTTAGACGTTGTCTGGCTGGGATGGGGAGGCGGGGCCAAACCGGCCAGGGGCGTGTGAGGGAGGAGAAAGTTTGTAGCACTTTAAAATGTAGCCAGTTTACAATCCCTGGTCACTCTCTCCCCCTTCTCCTCTTTTCTGTGGCTTCCACCATCCTGAGACTCCCGGAGGGAGACTTGATCTCCTGCCCTGACGCAGGAGTCCAAGGTTTCAGAGCGAAGTTGAAGATGTTGTGTTTTCCTCTGTACTTAGTGAAATTGTCTGCTACCAGGGAAGGGCATTAAGACAGATCAGAAGAGTAAGGTGGAATCTGAGAATATTTGCAAACTTCAGGGAAGGTAGCCTGAAAATATAGGGAGACCAGGTACTCTGAAAGTGCGGCTTTGCCCCTTATGCCTCCTGCCCCGGTAAGACAAAAAAATCTTAGTCTTGGGAAATTGAATTGGTGCAAAAGCTGGGCTGTGGGCACGGCTAGCCACTCTAGTAACCTGAGCTGGGCTGGGGGAGGTGGTGGTGAGGGAATGCAATCGCGAGCCCGAGGAGGGAAACGGACTTGTCGCGCGGAGCCGGGAAAATAGACGCGTCACTGGAATAAACAAACTGGCCTTGGGGGAGGGGATGGCTTGTTGCGAACGTAAGGGGGCGTGGCTGAGAGGCAGCGGTAGGGTAGGAAGGGGCCACTTCTGGCTTGGGAGAAAATATCAACTGCCTTATATGTTCATAAATGGGCTAGGAAGTGAAGAGGTGTAATCCGATCTTTTGTATCTCAACATCGCAGTGTTACATAGGAAGGCGCTGCTGGCAGGCCCAGTTTTGGACTTCCCACAGGGGAATCCTAGGGGTATCCCTGAGTGAACCTCTTCAACGCTAGGTGGGCTCTGGCCATGTACTTGCATTATTCACAGCAAGGTACTTTGTAAATCGTAAAGTAAATCACAAATTTACTTTGTAAATCATCTGACCTAAATAAGGGTTGTGAGAAAGAGAAAACAGTGTTTGGCATATTTGTAGAATTTAGTTGAAAACAGTAGGTGGGGAGAGGCAGGAGTTTGCTGAAGAAGAAATAAATAGGTGGGCATTTCCCCTGGATTCCTGATTCCATTTTTGCTGTTATCTTGACTTTCAATTCCATTAGGGGCTGAATCGATACTTCTCTGGCACAAAAACGTACCTCTAGGAGAGTTCTTTCAAGCTGGTGGTCATTATTTTGAGATGTCCTTCCATCTCTGCTCCAAAGCTTCTCTGTAATATGCAAAAGGAGGATGATGAGAGTGGCTCGATGCATGGGATGTCCTTTCTGGATTCTTGCAGAGACACTGAAACTTGGCTGGGCCTCAGCCTCCCAGAATGCCAGTTTTTCCCTTGGAGACTTGAAGTTTTAATTGAAACCAGAAAGCTATTGAAGGCAGATCCAGCCAATGAAACCTTGTTTTCTCTGCTGCTCAGGAATGGGAAATAAATAATTTTTTGCTGATGGCATTTCAAGTTGCTTCAGTTCTGTTCTTGCCAGAAGAATGGGGTAAATTATTGTTAACACATAGGCATTGTCAGGAGTTGCAGGGCCTTAAAAAATGGGATGGTGTTATTGAGTTTACTCAGGTCCCCACTGGAGGTCTGTGGGTAGGGGCGGGGGAGGGGGGCTACTCTTGTCCAGGAGTGAGGCATTCCTTCCCTGAAGAAAAGGAAGCCTCATAGAGTCCTTGCCTCACATCACTCTGCTTGGTCCTATGGATCCTGTGATGAAGGGAACAAAGCCATTCAACTTTCCTTCCATTCTGTGATCTATTATGAAACCTGGGGAGCTTCTTAAAATGATTTAAGCAAGGATTAAGTGAGGACCATCACCATCCTACGTATTGCCTTCAGTTTGAGCTTCTTTTAGAGCTATTTCAAAGGCAACCCTGGTGTTTTGCAAACTCTTCATCAAGTTGCAGACACTTTGGGTAGCCTAACACTTGATAAATGCAGAAAAGTGAACACCAAGTTGTCTACCCCATGGTTACAGAGGGTAGATGCCAGCCTATGGTCTTTTTTCACTCTGGGTTTTCATGTCCATTTTCACTTAGCCTTCAGCTGGATTCTGATGTCCACTTAGACATACCAGGTTGGAGCAGTATGAAGTGTGGGAGGAACCGTGACCTCAGATGACCAAGTACAAGTTCATGGGCCCTTGGAATTCTTATCTGGAATTTTCAAAGTTCTTTCAAAGTGCTGGGTCAGAGCAGCATCCCTTTCACGGTTGGTTTTCTTATATCCTCAGAGGGTGCCCTCCAAGGTTGAGGGAGCATTTTTTTAAAGCAGCCTTTGGCTTACAGTTGACTTCCTGTTCATTTCAGAGCAAATGATGCCAGGGTCACATGGAGAACGAGAGCAGGCCTGAGGTCCACAGGACACCTTTTGAGGAAGCAAATAGCCCTTCCCAGGAACTAATGATGAATTGTGGTCCACAGATCCTTGAGAAATAATTGTAAGCGAAGTCAGCTGAGCTGATCCCTGGCAGGCCTAGGCGTCCACCTTTCTAAGTGCTATGGGGGGCGGGGGGAGGATGAATGAATGGTAAGCAGATAAGAATTGCAGAACTTTGAGCCTAAAGAAATGTTTCCCTGACCCAGCCTCTGCCATCAAAAGCATTCCCTTTCCTATGTATGGCTCTTTGTTCATTTCAGGATACCTTCCTATCACATTTGCCCCCTTGATTCTCTTAAGGAGGGAGGCCCAAGAAGCAGTGTATCCCCATTCAGAAGCTGAGGAACTGACACACTGACTTGCTGAAATGATGCAAGGGGGTGGCCCACCTGGGACCCCAAGGCTCTGTTAAAGTGTGAACAGCATCACACTTGAAGTAACAAGATCTGCTCTGGATCCTGTCCTTACTACCTCCCAGCTAAAGGACCCTTGGCAAGTTATTTAACCTCTTTGAGCCTCAGTAGCCTAATCAGGAAAATAGGGATAAACATGCTTACCCTGCCTACTTCACAGGGGTTGGGAGGATTAAATAATACCAGCTAATTTCTGTAATTGAACTCTGAGAGGATTTCCATGCTGCCTCCTGGAAATCTGTGCCTAGGATTATTGTTGCCATAGCCCAGAGATTAATAACCCTCTGGTGTGACCAGAAATGCCTATAGGAGCCTTGGGTTCTAAGACAGCTGTTTTCTGAATACTTGTTTTCTGCTCATGAGTAGACTCATAAGAAAAATGTGTGCATACATGTTTGAAATCAGTTGAATTATTCGATGCCTTGTATAAGCCATGTGTATCTGAGACTCAGAGTCTCAGATAATAGCCAGTTTGGGCTCGCAGATGTTGGGGCTCGGGAAATGTTCTTCGCTAGGAATGAGAGGAACAAAAGGAAAAAAGACATGGAGATGCACAGAGTCGGGGCAAAGGGGGAGAGAGAATGAGAGGGAGATTGTCCATAAGGAGCCCCAGGGGCTGAGCAGTGGCATCTAGGTCAAAGTGTTTAGCCTCTCTTAAGAAAAGAACTCCTAGCAGGATTGCCTCTGTCCCAGCAAACCTAGTACATTGTCTAGAGTCAGGAAAGTTCTTCACAATTGGTTTGCTGCTGGCCTCCCCTGGATTGCTCCTTTTTCTCTTTCCCATGATTCCTGGCTGGCCCTGTCCAGCAGCCTGCATGCACCACACACCAGGCAGTGTTCTCCAGTGATCCCTATTTTACACAACACTTGCTGACCTCTGCTCCCATCAGACCTGTTTCCTTGCTCACCTTGGGCCCTCTGGACGTGTGTCCGCTTCCGCACCTGGGCTGGCTCTGTGCCGCTGCCTCCTCTCTGGAAGGTGTCCTGATGGGTCCCTTTTTGCCAGAGCATGCACCTCTTAGGACATCAGACCAGCTCTCAGCTCTGCACCCCGGTCTCCAGAGCACTTCGGGTCTCAAGCATTTGCCTGGCAACCGGCTCGCGGCTCATGCTGCCTTGCTGTTTGTTGTCACTACCGCCCTTAGCTATGAGTCCTTCAAGAAAGGGACCAGGTTGGCCCCACGAGGGGCTCTTCCTTAGGAGTGAGTTCCATGCTGTGAATGAATGGCAGAATTTATGCAGAGGTAGAATATTAAAAGCAAATGTTTAAGGTGCGCCAGAGCTCTGCTCCGTGAAGGAGCACAGTGTGCACCTCTTACACAGAGTGAATGAGAACCACTTGTGTTAATGGCTTTTTATACTTTTGGCTATCTTTCAGGGGCAATCACCCACTCCGTCTCTCCCTCCAAGCCTGCGAGGTAATGATGTTTT